TTTCAGATCATACAGCTGGCCCACCGTGGTGTTGCCTGTATATCTGGTAGCTCTTTTGTTTTGCCATTGTAATCACCATAAGCCATTTGTTGACTGTTTAAGCGTCTATGCCAACCAACTGTAATTGGCGAGAAAATGCAGGCCAGATTGGAAAGGCTGGACGTTACACAACGGGAACAACATTATGGACATGAACAAGGAAAAAACAGAAAAAGCACTTCTTTGTTGCCTTTTTCTTATCATAAAGTGTACTGTTTTTGTTACCATTTAAAGTATTGTATTATATTCATTCCTTTATTTTGATCCAAATGCACCTGTTTTAGATAATATAATTTATTTTGATGCATAGGTTGGATTTGCAGGTTGGTTGTTATTTGTTAATATTGTATTGTTACTGTGTATTTTATATATTACTAGCATTTCATTGCTATTGTATTAATTAAAAATACCTGTTATGACACTTTATACATGTTCTTTTCTTTTTGGGTAGATACCAGACATACATGACACAAATGGATCTTTGTAATATTATTTATGTTCGGGGAAATTAATTCATACCGGTATTAAATGTAATTACTACTTATTAAAACATAAGCTGGTGAATGATGGATGCCTGGTGACCAGCCCAGCATACCAGCATTACTATTTCTGGTCCTATTGCTGTTTTATTTAAAGCTGGCCAGATGGCTGGTTTAGCTGGGTGGCTGGTTTAGCTGTCGTGAACGCACGTAAACCCAAAGCCATCGCGTGGCCAGCTAAAGGAGGATAACCCCCTCTAAAAAACCAGCCAACCGTTCGCATTAACTGGCTGGGGTCAGGCTGGGTCAACATGTAGCTGGTCTAAGCTGGTTGTTTCAGGCAGGGACATTTAATTATGGCGCTGTCAATGTATAGGCTACAACAAGGACCAACAGTCAGTCTAGCAGCGTTAAGACTGTAATCAGGCACGGCGATGCTTGAGCTAAATGTTGCTTTTAATTGAGAACGCCTAAACATTGCTCACAATCACAATATTAACAGCTGATATGGAGCACGGTGTAGGTATTTGCCATATATTCACCAACCTAGTTCAGTCCTGTTGGGCATGCCAACATTCACTAATAGGCAAAACAACCAAATAAGGGTTGAGGTAGAAGTACGTTTTTGGCCATCCAGCAATAGTTGGGAAATGTGAAATGAATCCACTTGATAATAAATTGCATTGACAGACTGACATTGCCGCACCAAGAGCAGGCCTCGGGGCATGGCCAACAATGCTCGAAGGACTCCCAGAAAAGCTTCACTGAATTCGTCATCTATCAGCTCAGCCTGCATGATTGCTGGTTGGATGATCCAATAGGAAAAAATACCACAACATTATTTTTTTAACGGGAACACTATGGGTGTTACAAAGTTGACTAAATCATCCAAAATTCAATGAAAGTGGTAATCAGCAATTGTATATGTTCAAATGTCTACTGCGAAGGATATCATAAAGGCTTAATGCAATCGAATGTAAAACAAAAAAGTTATGATTGATGAAAGTAGTAAATCGGTCAGATTTGACCCGAGGACAACAGGAGGGTTAATAAGTGAAAGTTACAAAAAGTCCTGCAGACATGATCTATATTCTTAGTTTTTATTTTACCTTAAACCACATATCAACTGTTTACATGTGAACCAATTTGAATTATTTATGGAGGCTTGCTGACCACGCAATGGGAGGCAACACCTGCCACATGCAGGATACACAAGATGCTAACAACAACAGCTGTTCTCCCAGTCCTGTTTACCCACTACAGTACCTGCATTATTCAATTGTTCAGCAGCTGTTCTAAAAAGTATAATTTTTTCTTTTTAGAAAAACTTCCATGGAGGTTACTGTATTTTTGTCACTAAATTATAGCTTGTGCACATTTATTCAAAGATATACCAGGGGAAAGCTGAAATAACCGTGGAGGTGACCTTACAGTATGCAATGCCCCAGTGCTGATTCAAATATATGTTTTGCACAGACACAGAGATGTTTCTTTTCCTGGTGCTGCATTCCACAAATTCTATTGATTCCCCTCCCTCCCTGTCTCCATGTGCTTGA